GCAGGTGTGGGGAAAAGGAACAGGAGAGAAATTGAAGGCAATAGGAACAGGAGATTATTAGGAGCAACCATGTATATTGGTCTCTTTTTCTCTCCCAGTTGAGTGGATGTTGCCATTTGCCTGATGGATCAAATGCATGGTTAAGACAAAGTCAACGAATTAATTGAAGCCTGTACAGCCCAGGTGATAAAAGGGACCAAAGAGAGCTGAGAGGATAGGCTGTCTGTGACAATCTGTGCATATTGGAGAGAATTTTTCAAGAGTCATAAAAGAAGAAAATTTAGAAGGTATGTTATCAACAGCATTTCTTCTCAAAATAAGCCAAACTTGGAACCTGAGGAATAAAGGGGGAAAGACACAGACAGGTCAGTCTTTCTTTCCCACCAGTGCTGGCATTAGCACATGGTCAGGGAAGCAGAGACATTCTAGGGCCATGGTGGACTGAGATGAATAACACTCTGCCTCAGTCCTCATATCTCCCTCCTCCATCTCGATCCCAATTGGTTTTGGGCGAATCCTGATTAAGGAGAACAGATAACCCTGTGAAGGGAAAAGAAGTTCCCAATGGTGAGCAAGCAGTCCGAAGTATTTTTTTAAAATGATACAGGGATGGGAAGATGGCAGTCACATTGCCTCAATAACGGATATCTTTGTAGGGACAAGGGAAGAAAAAACTTACAGGCTAATTGTAGATAAGCTTCTGGTCTCTGGGGTTTCCTGCATTAATTGGCAATGAAGCAACCTTCATCTTCTTTGATGGATGTCATCATTTCACAGCACTTTAGTAAATAAAGTACCAAGAAGCTCCTCCAAAGTTCAGGTCAGACAACTTCTTGATTTTCCATAGGCCCCTGATAGCACGGAGCTAAGAAGCCCCACCTACATGTGCACACAGGCACATACACAGTCTCATAGAGAAGTAGTCCACTCACCATTAGAAGTCAGGTCTTCTACCCCCAAAGACCCAATCTCCCAATTCCCCATGCCTTCCTCTTTCACAAACTCCACAGTCTACCCACAGAGATCCTATACAGCAGCAGCAGCAGTAGCAGCAGCAGCTGGAAGGGAATTTGGAAGGTGGGCAAAGGATGGAGATGGATAGGGCGTGAGGGGGCATGACTTTCCAATGCTGGTGGAATGTCCTCACCCCCTTCTCATCTTTGACTAAGGCTTCTCATGCTGCCTAAAAGGAAAATCAGAGATATGAATCTACTGTTCAGTTTATCTGTCTCTTGGTCCCACCCAGCCAGCCTCTTCACAAGAACCATACAAGATGAGTGATGTATGGTCTGAGGAGGCATATGACCAGCAAGTGGACCCACAGAACACAGGGAACAGTACTTTAAACACATAATCCAGGGTGTTCCACTAGGGCATGAGAGAAACCCTGAAAATTCCTATGGATTCTCCAAGCCAAGTGAAACTCCCAGGGATGTTTTCATTATTACAATCCACAAATGATTACCACTACCATTTTTATCATATAACATTTATTTACCACTTACCATGCCAGGCACTGATCTGTGTTCTCTATGATAATTTTCTTTAATCCTTACAATAACCCTAA